CATGCTGGGCATTTTTGTGGTGTTGCGCTGAAATCGCGGCAAATATCTTCGCAAGTACCAAATTCAAGACACACGGCATCAAACATGGCCAACTTTCGAGGTTCACATTAAGTATATTTTACTCGTCTTTGCTCTGAATACTCCAATAAAAACCATAAGTTTCGCGGTTTGTGATCTCCATGATGAATTAATTTCCCGCAACTATGGGAATTTTCGTATTTACAATTTTCTCAAATCATTCATTGAACATGGCGGGTATATCTTGTCAGGTCGAGCGGTCTTTAACTCCATTCTTTTTTTAGAACGGCAATACACACGTAAATGCAAATTTGAAAATGCTATACGACAGAGCGCTACCAGTCGTTTCGTATCCGCGGACGATTTATACCCACATGTCAGTTTCGTAGTTAATAAGGTACGTTTTCCAGGTTAATAAGGTTGAAATAAGGTAAGTTTTTATAATTGTCGATAACGAAGAGAAAACATCATAATTACCTTACGTACACACTATTTAGTTATTATTCATGAGAAATTCACAAGTATACAATAGTGTGTTTTTATTCAAGTTATGACACTTACTTGGCATCAGGGAATAATTTGATTGTTAACCTGTTCGCTGTATGCTTCTGAGTTTATCACCATATATCATTACGGTACCAATATTACCACTTTTTTTTTAACAGTCTTGTCTAACTAATGTGAATCACTCGTACCTACTCAAACATAATCGTTTATAATCGTAACGGTGGCCAATTTACCATTTCAACTTTGTTCATATATATTCAAATTATTACGAAATGACTCAACTGACTGGGTACGAAATGACTCAACTGACTGGGTACGAAACGACTCAACTGACTGGGTACGAAACAACTCAACCGACTGGGTACGAAATGACCCAACTGACTGGGTACGAAATGACTCAACTGACTGGGTACGTAACGACTCAACTGACTGGGTACAAAACGACTCAACTGATTGGGTACGAAGTGACTCAACTGACTGGGTACGAAACAACTCAACTGACTGGGTACGAAATGACTCAACTGACTGGGTACGAAATGACTCAACTGACTGGGTACGAAACGACTCAACTGACTGGGTACGAAACAACTCAACCGACTGGGTACGAAATGACCCAACTGACTGGGTACGAAATGACTCAACTGACTGGGTACGTAACGACTCAACTGACTGGGTACAAAACGACTCAACTGATTGGGTACGAAGTGACTCAACTGACTGGGTACGAAACAACTCAACTGACTGGGTACGAAATGACTCAACTGACTGGGTACGAAATGACTCAACTGACTGGGTACGAAACGACTCAACTGACTGGGTACGAAACAACTCAACCGACTGGGTACGAAATGACCCAACTGACTGGGTACGAAATGACTCAACTGACTGGGTACGTAACGACTCAACTGACTGGGTACAAAACGACTCAACTGATTGGGTACGAAGTGACTCAACTGACTGGGTACGAAACAACTCAACTGACTGGGTACGAAATGACTCAACTGACTGGGTACGAAATGACTCAACTGACTGGGTACGAAACGACTCAACTGACTGGGTACGAAACAACTCAACCGACTGGGTACGAAATGACCCAACTGACTGGGTACGAAATGACTCAACTGACTGGGTACGTAACGACTCAACTGACTGGGTACAAAACGACTCAACTGATTGGGTACGAAGTGACTCAACTGACTGGGTACGAAACAACTCAACTGACTGGGTACGAAATGACTCAACTGACTGGGTACGAAATGACTCAACTGACTGGGTACGAAACGACTCAACTGACTGGGTACGAAACAACTCAACCGACTGGGTACGAAATGACCCAACTGACTGGGTACGAAATGACTCAACTGACTGGGTACGTAACGACTCAACTGACTGGGTACAAAACGACTCAACTGATTGGGTACGAAGTGACTCAACTGACTGGGTACGAAACAACTCAACTGACTGGGTACGAAATGACTCAACTGACTGGGTACGAAATGACTCAACTGACTGGGTACGAAACGACTCAACTGACTGGGTACGAAACAACTCAACCGACTGGGTACGAAATGACCCAACTGACTGGGTACGAAATGACTCAACTGACTGGGTACGTAACGACTCAACTGACTGGGTACAAAACGACTCAACTGATTGGGTACGAAGTGACTCAACTGACTGGGTACGAAACAACTCAACTGACTGGGTACGAAATGACTCAACTGACTGGGTACGAAATGACTCAACTGACTGGGTACGAAACGACTCAACTGACTGGGTACGAAACAACTCAACCGACTGGGTACGAAATGACCCAACTGACTGGGTACGAAATGACTCAACTGACTGGGTACGTAACGACTCAACTGACTGGGTACAAAACGACTCAACTGATTGGGTACGAAGTGACTCAACTGACTGGGTACGAAACAACTCAACTGACTGGGTACGAAATGACTCAACTGACTGGGTACGAAATGACTCAACTGACTGGGTACGAAACGACTCAACTGACTGGGTACGAAACAACTCAACCGACTGGGTACGAAATGACCCAACTGACTGGGTACGAAATGACTCAACTGACTGGGTACGTAACGACTCAACTGACTGGGTACAAAACGACTCAACTGATTGGGTACGAAGTGACTCAACTGACTGGGTACGAAACAACTCAACTGACTGGGTACGAAATGACTCAACTGACTGGGTACGAAATGACTCAACTGACTGGGTACGAAACGACTCAACTGACTGGGTACGAAACAACTCAACCGACTGGGTACGAAATGACCCAACTGACTGGGTACGAAATGACTCAACTGACTGGGTACGTAACGACTCAACTGACTGGGTACAAAACGACTCAACTGATTGGGTACGAAGTGACTCAACTGACTGGGTACGAAACAACTCAACTGACTGGGTACGAAATGACTCAACTGACTGGGTACGAAATGACTCAACTGACTGGGTACGAAACGACTCAACTGACTGGGTACGAAACAACTCAACCGACTGGGTACGAAATGACCCAACTGACTGGGTACGAAATGACTCAACTGACTGGGTACGTAACGACTCAACTGACTGGGTACAAAACGACTCAACTGATTGGGTACGAAGTGACTCAACTGACTGGGTACGAAACAACTCAACTGACTGGGTACGAAATGACTCAACTGACTGGGTACGAAATGACTCAACTGACTGGGTACGAAACGACTCAACTGACTGGGTACGAAACAACTCAACCGACTGGGTACGAAATGACCCAACTGACTGGGTACGAAATGACTCAACTGACTGGGTACGTAACGACTCAACTGACTGGGTACAAAACGACTCAACTGATTGGGTACGAAGTGACTCAACTGACTGGGTACGAAACAACTCAACTGACTGGGTACGAAATGACTCAACTGACTGGGTACGAAATGACTCAACTGACTGGGTACGAAACGACTCAACTGACTGGGTACGAAACAACTCAACCGACTGGGTACGAAATGACCCAACTGACTGGGTACGAAATGACTCAACTGACTGGGTACGTAACGACTCAACTGACTGGGTACAAAACGACTCAACTGATTGGGTACGAAGTGACTCAACTGACTGGGTACGAAACAACTCAACTGACTGGGTACGAAATGACTCAACTGACTGGGTACGAAATGACTCAACTGACTGGGTACGTAACAACTCAACTGACTGGGTACGAATGACTCAACTGACTGGGTACGAAATGACTCAACTGACTGGGTACGTAACAACTCAACTGACTGGGTACAAAGCGACTCAACTGACTGGGTACGAAATAACTCAACTGACTGGGTACGTAGCAACTCAACTGACTGGGTACAAAACGACTCAACTGACTGGGTACGAAACGACTCAACTGAATGGGTACGAAACGACCCTTAATCTTTCTGATACTGTCCGTTGACCATATCCAAATCCATTGTCCTTACTAGATATGTAAACTTTGTTCTCGACAGGTCGTTACCAAAACCTATATTGGTGTCAACAATGAGGTCCTATCGCTCAGGAGTTCTGCTTTTTCTCGCTTTTGCGATGATAGTCTTTTTATGGCAGTTCCAAAGAAAAAATTCTGCACAGAGAGTTACTCTTGAGCCTCCCACGTATGTTAGGATGAGCCGAGAGAGTACTTTGATTCCCGAAAAGAAGACCTCTATCGAAACAGAACCGTTGTTAATTATTTTCTGGACAACTGTTTTCGGTATTGCGCCACACTATGAGCTTGTATATTATAATGGGAGTGACTGCCCTGTGGCCTGCCAGGTCACCTCTGACCGTTCTCGAGCCAGAGAGGCAGATGGGTTCGTGGTGCATGGCTGGGATGCAGACATGATACCCCCGAATGGATCTGTACCATGGATATTTTTTACACAAGAAAACCCGGTGTATGTTCCCAAAATGAAAGACGCCAAGTTTATGTCCAAATTTAACTTGTTAATGAGTTACCGTTTAGACTACGATATACCCGTCCCAGTTGTTCCCATGCCTCAGTTGACACCACCACTTCCATTTAAGGAAAAAACTAAACTTATTATGGCAGCATTTTCAAATTGCGAGGCTGTGCGGACGGAGTACATGAGACAATTGATGAATTTTGTGCAGGTCGATTCTTATGGAGCCTGTCTAAGGAACAAAAATGATCTAGTTAGCCGAGGTGGATCTAAGAACGGAAAAAACTTCAAAGAATTGAAGAGTGAATTAGCCAGACAATACAAATTTTTACTGGTATTTTTTAACGAGGACTGTGATTATTTTGTCGATGATCAACTAATCCATGCCCTGAATGCAGGCGCAGTTCCCGTGGTAATGAGTACAGATAAACTGGACGAGTTCCTGCCCGGCAATCTTAAACTATCCGTCATTAAAGTCCGTGACTTTAAGACTCCAAAAGATCTTTCAGATTATCTTAAGTTCCTTAGCACAAATGAGACAGAGTATAACAAGTATTTGACATGGAAGTCGGAAGGAATAGGAAATTTCACTGGAACCGCTATTGGAAATGTTTGGAAACCAAAGTATCCTATTTATTGCCAGCTCTGTATGGCGCTTTCAGAAGGACGAATACACGAGGAAGGACTGGCGCCAATACCGTGTAAT